TTGTGATTGCTCGAACCCGTCTGGTGAATGTGTTCTGACGTCCTTCTGGTGTTACTCACAACCGTCCTAGTCAAAACTGCGACCCAGATTCCCCCATGCGCCCGCATGATTGTCTGCTATGATGGATAACATTGTTACCCGGTATCTATACTCCCTGCGAATTGCCAGTCATGGTCTCTGCTTGTTTTACTCTCAGTATGAGGAAAATGAAACCACTGGTTTGCTTTTCATTGGCCTGTTTGCACGGGGTGTCCTATGCTTCTTTCTCGTGTTACTTGTGACATCCTTGTGCTGTGCAATTCGTTTGTTTTCTCACTCTTTGCCCCTATTTTCGTTCCACATGGGATAAACTGTCATCCGTGAGTTACTCACAGATGTGAACAGGCCATTCTTCACTCCACACTCCACCCTTCGGACCTCCAAGATGGCCGACCTCCAACACGAACTGAACCTATCAATCTGTAAAACCTGTGCTGTTCAATACGCCCAAACTTCTTTACGATCATACAAGCTTGGGGACGAACTCGAAGGTGATGGCTGTCCAATCTGTTTGGATCCCCGTCAGTACGTGCCTGCAACCGGACAATCATGGACATCTTGGGCTACTCTGGAACTCGATCATACGACAAAGTTGGTTCCCGAGCCAGATGACGAGAGGATAATCAGAATCGTCACCGAGCCACCTATTGGGATAGGACAGACTCGTGAGTACTTTTATGTTGAGATGGTCGTTCATGTGCGGTTTACTTATGCTTGTGAAGCGTTTGTCATATGCACCTCGTCGGGCATATTGATTTGGGATTGTGGCTCTTATCTCTCTCAGGATACAGTCGACTCTATCCTAGCCCTCACATCACCATCAAAACCTCTCCTTGGTATAGCGATTTCCCATCCTCATTTTTTTGGAGCGTCGGTAATGTGGGCGAAGAATCTCGGTTGTAAAGTCTTCATGTGTGAATTGGATCGTGAGTGGTTTATGAGGAAGGAGGATAGTGAGGCTGTGGATGTTGTGGAGTTTTGGAAGGGTGAGAGGAAGAATTTCGGAGAGGCGTTGACTGTTATTCGATGTGGTGGTGAGTTTGACGCTCCCGGACTCGTGCTGGTCCATTTAAATGATACCAAACTCCCCATCCCAGGACATTTCCCCGGCTCGTGTGTCTTGCATTGGAACCGATCTCTAGAGTCGCTACCAACTTCCATCACATCTCTAACCAAGAAAGGAGTCGTTTTCTGCTCTGATACCTTCATGGTCGCTCCAGATCGCAAGACACTATCTTTCATGTGGTCATACCCAAACCAGGTCCGTTCATCCCACCCAACATTCGACGCTCGCGGCCAAAACTGGCTAACATACCAATGTCACGTAGATCCCACTTCCACCCAAGGATGTCCAAACCATCTGGAACTCCCTTCGGCCATTCCAGTTTGATGATATTTACGGAGCGTGGCCAGGGCGACTTTGTTTGAACGAGGGGAGGGAGAGGTTACTCGACGCCGCTCGGTACTTTGTGAAGATGGAGGGATGGGAGGAAGGTCAATTTGTTTTCGACGATTAATCTGACGGCAGGAGCAAGCGGAACGTCCTTGACCCTCGGATTATGACTGCGAGATTTTGCATATGGACTGAGCATGAATCACCCACAGCCACGGGGTTTGTCACATGTTGAGCATCTGGCAATGCCTGCGACTCAGCGCATTGGTTCAGAGTAGTATACAGGTATACAGAGGCAACAGTACCGCAAATACACAGTTGTTGGCTTGAGTTCTGACAAGGCGAGGAATGACGCCCGATGATATACGAGTCACGCCGATAAACTCTGCAAGGTAAGGTTTCCATAGGTTATATGACATCGTCCACTAACCAATCTGTGTTTGCATCGCCTTGCAGCTTTCGTGAACCTTCTCAACGAATTCTTGCTTTTGTGCCACGACATTCTCATGGGAAGTTGTAGGGGAGTGAAAACCATAGCGATCTCCCTAGTAATTCTGTCTGTCATGTGTCGTTTTCGCGCGAACAGTAACACCAGTTCCTACCATGTCGAGGTTGGTTATCTTTACAGCTATGGTAGGCTTTGATGAAGATCTAATGAAGCAACTGGTTAGAAGCGCACAGGTGGTGAACTCAACGTCTGTACAAAGAGATAAATCCTCAGACAAGGCTTGTAAGACTTGATCTATTAGAAAGGTAAATACCTGTACAAAGAGTTAAACTACAAGACAGGTTAGTCCAGGAAGTACATAGGATCATACAAGAGACTTACTCCTCAGACAAGGCTTGTAAGACTTGATCTGAGGAGCTGAGGACGCAACCCACACAGTTTATATAGACTACAGAGAATAGCATGACGTCATAGAAAGAAATGCATAGAAAAGGGTAGAAACTGTGATCACACAATACTGAGCAAGGATGATGCGAGGATGGGCAAAGGATTGCTCTATCTACTGACTAACTATCTTACTCAGCTACCTACCAGATGACATCACACTGACTGAGACTGTGTAAGTCGCATTCTGGCAAGTTCCGTCAAGGACAAGCAGCGCGTCTGTGACTGTGACATCACATGATAGTGACATCACACTGCTTCAACAGGCTTTTCATCAGTTCGTGTAACGAATCTACTTCCAGTAGCTTTCCCAACCCTCTATCATCTCTAACTATCCCGACCACCAGGTGATTAGAATCCCATCCTTCTAATTCGCCTTATCTCCATATTGCTCAGTCTCGTTACTAAGTCTGGTTTTCGTTCCAAGCACGACACTTCCAATCATCCCAAGCATTGGATTGCCGACGTCCACGACTCACAGTCCCTATGCTTCTTCCTCTAACAACAGCAACTCCTCCGGCGTCGCTCTCCAGATACCCCCCTGGGATACTTTCATATGCATTGGTCTCGGTTTAATTATGAATGGATTAGTATGAGGTCAGAGGTGGGACGTTGAACGAGGCGGCAAGTTCAATTTGGGTTGACCTTGGTATAGTACAGCTTCTTTTCCGCCACCATCGACACACTGTCGTTATTTCTTCCGAATTCAAGTTCATTCTTTCTATCAAAACATACAAACAATTTCCGTTCTCTTCTCCCCAGCTTACCAACCCAACTGCGCATAATTCCACCCATAAACTTTCCCTTTAGAATCAGCCTTGTTACACAACCTCTCCTCCCTATCGAGCGCACAAATAGCTTCGAAATCGGTTTGGGAGAGTTTGGGGATCTAGCGGGGAGCGTTAGCGTCATGCGTCAATGGTGCACCGGTAACGGCGACGGCGACGGCAGGAATGACGGGGGCGAGGACGGGGACAGGAATGAGGCCGAGAGGGGAATAAAGAAGAAGACGAAACATACCACCAAATTCCCTTTCTGATGCTCCCCATTCGCACTCTTCGGAACCGCAGCGTTCCCTCTCAACAAATGCCACGCCAAGATTATCTGAGCTGGCATAACTCCATATTTGGAGGCGAGGGAGGTTATGGTTGGGTCTGAGCGGACTGTTGCGTAGCCTGCGGGAGTATGATGAGTTGGGGTGAGTTCGCGTGATGGTAGAAGGGAGCTAAGGGGGTAGAAAGGAGAGAGGACGTACCGGTAGGTGTATAAGCGATCACCTTGATCCCCTTACTCGCACAATACTCCATAAGAGCGGGTTGTTGGAGGTAAGGATGTAACCTATCCACCATCCCTCGTTAACACACCTCTTCTCTCTGAAGACAAGGGAGGGGGCGTACTCGAGTTGGTTAGCAGCGGGCATCACTTTCGCCGATTTGATCAGTTGTTCTAATCTGAAAGGAACGTGTCGGTGGTTAGATCTCATACGACGAAAGCAAAGGAAGGAAGAGGGACTAACGTCTTGACGCTAAAATTACTAACCCCGATAGCTCGAGCTTTCCCACTTGCGTATACTTTCTCCATTTGTTCCCAGACTTGAGCGAATTTGGGTGGGTCGTTTACTATGAGTTCGCCGGAGGCGTCTTTGGGGTCGTCGTTGCCGTCTGTAGACATGCACATAATCAGGATGGAGACAGTAGGAGTGGGGTACTGAGGGAGGAGGGAGGGAGGGACAAAGGTACTAACCAACATAAGCCTCCGATTGCGGCCAATGAACGAGATACAAATCAACATAATCAAGCCCCAACCTCTCCAAACTCTCATTGATGGAATATTCAACTTTGCCACCATGATGAGGTCTATAACGCCACACACAAGTATCAACACTTGCCACTCCTGAGGGGAGGGTGGGGGGGAGGAGACGTACGGCAATTTGGTAGTGACGAAGATATCTTCTCTAGGGATACCAGAAGCTCGGATCGCTTTTCCAACCACCACTTCCGTTCCTACACCCCACTAAGTTTTTAGTAGATGTTAGTGAACGAGGGTGAGGGGGGGGGACGGACCGTATCCGTGGGCTGTATCCAAATGTCTATACCCAGCCTACCCATCAACCCAAATCACCGTTAACGCGTATTGAGGAGTGAGGGAAGGAAGGGAAGGGTACCTTCAGAGCGGTCAAGATCCAAGGTTCAGCAGCAGCTCTCTCCGCCTCCGTCACACCACCCCAACATCCAAGCCCTACACCACCAAAGTTTAATAAACACCCCGCATCAAAAGCGGTAAGGAAAGACCAACCGATAGCGGGCATTGGAGCGCCTGTGTTAAGTGTAAGACGTGGGATTGACGACATGGTACGTATGTATCTCTGGGGGATGCAAGGAGTCGAACGAGTGTGGTTCGCATCTTAAATACGGAGTTCAGATATCGTTAGGTGTGGCTGACTGAGCAAATGGATATCTTGGGGGCATCAGGTGAAGCTTGCATCCTGGAAAATGCGGGGTGGGAGGAGAACCGATTTCCGTGGTTTCGCCGAAATAGTGTACGGACCGGACCTTAACCCCGACGCGGTTATCAACGGAGGCTTGACGTTTCGGCGAAGGCGATCTTGATCAATGTGTACTTACGATATCGATGGTAGTTGCAATAGAGGAGGAAGACGAGGAAGAGACAAAAAAGTGGACTAGAAGGGATTTGAACCCTTGACCTCACGCAAACATTTAGAAAATGCAAAGCGTGCGCGCTAACCACTGTGCTACAAGCCCATGAATGGGCGAGGAGAAAGGGCAATCATGAAGTCTCAGGTCTAAGCTGGTCATGGGAACCACAAAGGGCGAAGCAAGAAATCACACAAGCGAGCTGTTTCACCCATCATCCCTATAATTCTCGACAAGATATGTTCTCTCAATGCCTCACGAACCACTTCACGCCAGCAGGTCTTGTAACCGTACTCCCAACGACAAAAATGCTAGTAATCTTACACCTTCTCATTCAATTTCCGTCTTCTTCCCAAGTCAAGTTCTCCACAAGCCCGCCCCCTCACCAACCCAACTGCTCATAAGTCCACCCATAAACTTTCCCCCTCTCATTAGCCTTATTACACAACCTCTCATTCCTATCCAGCTTGCAAACTGTTTCGAAATCTTCTTTGGTTAGTTTTGGGATCTGTGGCAGCGTCAGCGTGTTTCTCCTTGAACCACAAGGGGTGTTGAAACGAAGGGGTGTTGGAAGGAAAGTTCAAAGGAAGTGAGGTTGAAGGGAGGTTGAAGGAAGGGAGGTTGAAGGTATGGAAGGGGAGAGAAAAGAGGAAAGAAGGGAAAGAAACGCACAACCAAATTAGCCCCCTGCCTCTCCCCATCCGAACTCTTAGGAACCGCAGCATTCCCTCTCAAAACATGCCACCCTAAGATAATCTGAGCTGGCATCACGTTGTATTTGGATGCGAGGGAGGTGATGGTTGGGTCTGAGCGGACTGTTCCGTAGCCTGTGGAAGTGGGGGTTAGGTAATTGTGAGGTGGGGGTTAGAGGTGATGGAGAAACGGGGAGGGAGAGGGAGAGGGAGGGGGAGGAAGGGGGGGGAGAGGGAGGGAGAGGGAGAGAGGCGTACCAGTTGGTGTATAAGCGATGACTTTGATCCCTTTACTCGAGCAGTATGCCATTAGGTCTGGTTGTTGGAGGTACGGGTGTAATCTACCGCGCAGGTCAGCAGGGGTGTGGTGCCCGGAGGGGAGGAAAGGCAGGGACGAGAGGGAGGGGGGAGAGAAGGAAGAAGGGGCGTACTCGACTTGGTTTGCAGCTGGGACTATCTTTGCTGTCTTGAGGAGGATTTCTAAGCTGAACGTTTGATATTAGGGTCAGTGTGTGAAGGGAAAGAGGGTGCGAAAGGAAAAGAGGATGTGAAGGAAAAGAGGATGTGAAGGAAAAGAAGGATGGAAAGAGATGCAGAGAGCGACGTACTTCTTGATACTGAAATTACTAACTCCAATAGCTTTAGCTTTCCCACTAGCATATACCTTCTCCATTTGTTGCCAGACTTCCACGAAGGTGGGGGATGGGACTACTTTGAGGTCTCCGAAGGAGTCGAGGGGTTCGGAGTTGTCGTCTGGGGTGGTATAGGTGAGCGAGGGATGAGCGAGGAGTGAGGGAGGAGGATGGGATGAGGGAGCCAGGGAAGGAGGGACGTACCACCCTCAAATGCAGCCACCTGTGGGAAATGAACGAGGTACAAGTCGACGTAATCCAACCCCAGTCTATCCAAGCTATCTTGGATAGATAGTTCGACGCGTGCCCCATGGTGCCATCTACTCGCCACACGTGTCAACGCCAGGTCTTATCTCGAGACGAAGCAAGGAAGGAAGGACGTACGGAAGTTTAGTAGTGACGAATATCTCCTCCCTCGGAATCCCCGATGCCTTTATAGCTTTCCCAGTAGAGACTTCCGTACCGTAGATCCAAGCGGTATCCAAATGTCTATACCCGAGCTACGGCGAAACGGTTCAACGTCAGTTTCAAAGGGAGGGGAGGGAGCGGACTTTGAGAGCGTTGAGGATCCAATCTGCAGCAGCTGCTCTAGTTTCCTCCGTCACGCCTCCCCAGCATCCAAGCCCTGTAACCCATCTCATCAGCGCGTGCCCCAACAAAAGGCAAAGTCAAAGACCAACCGATCTGGGGCATGGAAGCACCGGTGTTCAAAGTCAAATAAGGGACTGAAGACATGGTTTGCAAGTATCGAGGTAAGCGTGAACTGGCATGTAACCAAGACAGCGCGAGAGCTTTATAGGATCGCACACGGACTACCGCGCGCTGACTGAGCAAGCCATGGCATCGTCAGGTGAAGCAAGCAGAACGAAGGCAAGTGCAGAGGTTTCCCCGATCGGGCCGATATCCGCGACCCTAACCTCACCCATCCACGGTCACGTGTACTTGTCTTGGAGTTCCGAGACAACTTGTCATTTCGAAGACATCCACTCCAACTCCACCTCCAATGCCACGATGGCAATGAGATCATGCATGGCTCCCTTTATCTTCCCCTTCGAATTCGTTCACACCCCTTCACCCAACTCCCAGCATGGCTGACTTTGAGAAACATCCCAGACCGAGCGTCGACCATGATACACACGACAGTTCCACTCATCAATCTCTCGACGACCGTCTCGTCACTCCCAATGCACCCCACAACCGCAAGCTAGGTGAAAAAGGCGCGGATGCCACAGTCACACCCGCCGACGCTGAAGACTACGACGTTTATGGTGATGAGGGGAATGATAGTACGTCTCCACCACCCCCTACCTCTGAGTTGCTCTTAATCTTCTTGTCGGCAGTCAAGTACCGAACTATGCACTGGTGGAAAGCAGCTGCTTTAATGCTCGCAGAGACGGTCTCCCTAGGCATCCTAAGCATCCCAAGCGTCTTTGCAAAAGTAGGCATGGTAGCAGGCTGTTTCCTCGTAATCGTACGTCCCTCTCCCTCTCCCCTCCCTCCCTCCCCCTCCCTTCTCCACCCCACAAACCTCAACCATTTACCCCGAAATCAGGGCCTAGGAGCGATAGCAACAGCGACAGGCTACATGATCGGTCAATTCAAAATCCGCTATCCCCAAGTCCACAACATGGCAGACGCAGGTCAAATCATCTTTGGTCCAGTTGGGAGAGAAGTGTTAGGGTTCGCTCAAGTCGTTTTTTTGGTTTTCATTTGTGGGAGTCATGTTTTGACTGGGTTGATCGCTTTTGATACTAGTGCGTTGCCTTCCTTTCTCCCCCCTCCCCCTCATTCTCTCCCTTCGTTTCTCTTCGCACCTCCTACATTACTAACCCACATCCACCCCCAAATAGTAACATCCGGAGCATCATGCTCGATAGTCTGGGCACTCATAGTCGCAATAATCGGTTTTGTCTTGACCCTCCCTCGAACACTAGGCGGGATATCGTATATGAGCGTCATTTCCTTCATCTCCATCATCTGTACGTTCCTTCCATTTTCGTTGGCTTGCTTGCTAAGTACAAAACTCTCCTCAACCTAATATATCTAATCCAACGCCTTAATAGCCGCAGTCTTCATAACGATGATAGGAGTAGGAGTCGAAGGACACAAAAGCCCGATAAGCGCCTCTGCGAACTTGAGTTTCGCAACTGGCTTCTTGGCTGTTACCGATATCGTCCGTCGCCCCCCCTTTCATTTTATTTTATCTTGCGGGACCTATTGATTTTTTTGGGTAGATATTCGCTTATGCAGGTGAGTACCGGTGTTGTGAAAGGGAATGTTGATGAGACTAAATTTGGTGCGGGAAGGACATGTTGCGTTTTTGGTGTTTATTTCTGAGATGAAACAACCTAAGGTCAGTTTCCCTCCTGCCTTTCCCTCCTTTCTCCCTCCCTTTCTCCCCTCCCCCCCTCCCCATCTCCCTTATTGCTCCCACACACGCACCCCCTCTAACGCACCCGAAAATAGGACTTCCCAAAAGCCCTCTACTTCCTCCAAATAGCAGATACGACACTCTACCTCATAGTCGGCGTGGTAGTTTATGCGTTTGCAGGTGCTGGGACCGTTTCTCCTGCTCTTGGTATGTTCAGTCTGGCATATACTCATCCCACCTCCACCACTAACTCTGTCGTCGACGTGTAGGTAATACGGGACCGACGTTGAGGAAAATAGCTTATGGGATAGCGTTACCTACTATTATAGTTGCTGGTGTTATTAATGGGCATGTTTGTGCCAAGTTGGTACGTCACACCATCTTTATCACTTTTGGAGTGATAATTTACCCAGTTACTGCTTTTGTAGGCGCTTATTAGAGTGTGAGTCCCCACTCTTCTCCTCCCCTCCTTCCCTCCTTATCGATTGACCAGCCTAATGAAACGAAACCAATGTACTGATCGAGAAAAACAGGTTCCGAAAGAAAGATGGTAGTAAATCTATGCATATGAGTTCACATACTTTAAGGGGGTGGGTAACTTGGGTAGCGATATGTTTGACGATTTGGGCTTTGGCGTTTATCATTGCTGAAGTGTGAGTCTTCCCTTCACCCATATCACCGATTACCTGAGTTGATGACATTGTGTTGGGTTGGGTTGATGGTGGATTAGGATCCCGTTCTTTAATGATTTATTGGGAGTGATAAGTTCGTTGTTTGCTAGTTGGTTCACTTATGGTATCTCTGTACGCCCCCCCCCTCTCTCCCTCTCTCTCTTCACCCTCCCTCTCGTTCTGTACCCTCGCTCTTGCCCAGCGACACTCGCTTACCACGACGTTTTGAACAGGGGATATTTTATTTCCATTTGACTCCGAGGTCGGAATGGTGGTCGACGAGGAGACAGAAGATGAAAGCTGTATTTTGGGGGTTCACGGTTTTTGTGAGTTCCTTTTATGTTGAATTGCTTTCCGACGTCTCTTGGTGCCGTTGTCACTCCTCTTTGTTTCGCGCTGGGCTGCGTCGGGATGAAAAGGTGTTTGGTCAGCGAGGTGCTCTCAATATTAATGGCGATGCGCGATGAGATGATGCGTGTTGACCAGCGTGACGCCACTCGTCGTGGTGATGCACGATGATAATGCGAGGGTGTCGTAGTTGGGAACGATGATTCACACCGAAAACAATTACTGAAAACCTCGTTTCCATTTTTTCGCAGATGGGAGCTTTTATAATGGTAGCGGGCATGTATGCCAGCATCAGTAGCATCGTCGACGGTGAGTCATCCTCCCCCCCACGCCTTGCGTCATATATCTACGGTTCGGTGTTGACGTTTGTTGGTTGGCGTAGGCTATAAGAGTG